GTGGAGGTTCCTGTGTGGCATAGAGCCAACGAGCCCTGACTCCGAGGTGCGAAGTGAGACAAGCGGCAGTTCCGTGCAGCCGAACATGCAGGTAACCGCGGGAGCAGGAACCGCGGCAACTGGAGATCAAGGAAGTCCCGAAAAGGCGGGGGCAAAGAATGAGCGAGTTGGAGGTGAAGTTGAAGATGAGAGGCCGAGCAAGCAACTCCGAGGAGAGTCTCCGAAACGTGCAAAGGCTAGCTCAGCCGCCACTGTTTGCAGGAAATGTGAGCTGTGTTGTTGGTGGAGAAGAGCTTCATCATGGTGATGTGGACCAGCGAGTTGAGTTCACTTCGGATGAGCGCGAGGTCTTGTACGAGTACGACAACTCGGAAGCATTCGACACTGTAACAGAAGCAGAATTGGTGCTACCTTCGGAAGCGGAGGAGGAATTGCTTTGGCGCCCTGGTTCAGCAAAGGAACCGGAACTGGGCCAGGAGCTGCTTGATCAGATTGATGAAGTTGCAGTACGCATGGAAATTACACGCCTTTTGAGGAGAGTTTTGCATGGACTGCCAGATGGAGAAATCCATGAAGAAGGCTGCAGATTCCTCTCCACGAAGTTTGTTACGAGCTGGAGAGCAAAAGTCAGGACTGTCGATGGAGTAAAGCAGCACTGCCGTGGGAGGAAGCCAGGCAATGCGTTGGTGTCCTTTTGTATCTGTCTGGGGATATCATTGAGGCGCAGTTTGGGATAAGGCTTTTAACGCAGAAGATGTCATCTCCGTGCATCGGAGATATGAAGACACTGAAGCACCTGGTGAGTTACTTGGGATCATCCCAGTATCGCATGTTGGTGTATGAGCGACCTCAGGTTGGCCGTGGATTTGCAGGATGTTCGGTGCAGGGTGAACTGACTCGGATTGGTCCTCGTGCAAAATGACGCGGAGAAGTGTGTCAGCGGCAGCAATCATGCTGGACGGCTTGATGGTGTCAAGTTCTTCTCGGACACAACGTTCGATTTCGTTGTCGGCTGCAGAAGCGGAGTTCAACACAGCAACGTCTACCATGTGCGATGCTCTGTGCATTCGTGACATCTTGGCAGGATTGCTCCCGGATGAATAGGTCTATTTGAGACTCTTGTGTGATTCAGCAGCCGCCAGAGGTATTATTGCGAAGTCAGGTGTTGGGCGTATCAAGCACTTGGACGGTAAGATGTTGTGGTTGCAAAGCAAGTGCCGAGAACCGGGTATTGGACGCGCGGCCATTTCGACTGTGAATGACATAGCTGACATTGGAACTAAAGCGCTCAGCCGGACGCGCATAAATTTTCTACTTTTCTGTGCCGGAATCTGTGACGAAGAAGGCAGCCCGATTGGAGCTGCAGAAGCTGCTGAGGAGGAAAGACGCCTGGAGGTGAAGAACGCCATCAGAAGGATTCAGGTTGAGGTGAAAGATGAATTTGGGATTCCAGGTTCTCGCGGCACGAGAAGGTGCTACGTATTGGAATCGCGAGCGGCTTGGTTCACGGAAATTTCGCATGGGAGAATGGTGATTCCATTGAAGCCTTGAGCCGGGCGACGTTATGGAGCCCAATCACGTTTGAATTTACGTTCGACGCAGTTTTTGCATTGATGATCAGTCTTATTCTGTTGTTTGCATGCATTGGATTCATTTGTACACTTCAGTTTGCATTTACAAAGCAGAAGCGGTATGTGGACGTTTCAGTGCAGACCTGGAACTTCGAGGAACAAAGCCAAGATACTCTTGCTAACCCAACTCTGGCAGATGAGTTCGCTGAGCAGGATGTATATGTGACCTTGGGAGGTCGATGCTATCACAAACAGAGTTGCAAGTGGCTCAAGTATGGAGCTACACGCATGAGCCTATCGGAGGCCATCAGGGCCAACTACAAGATATGCCAAACTTGCCATGACTTCGGCAAGGGAGCTGGCAGGACCTCGCACCAGCCACAACGGTGCGAAGGCGACGAGATGGTCCGTTTGCGCAGCGCAGAACCTTACGCACTGCAGGACCTATGGAGCCCATTTTGGGCGGTTTTCACCATGGAGCCCAGAACCTTACGGGCGATGTGTGTGCAGATGAAGTCTTGGTGAACAGACTCGTTTCGTTTTCAGCTTGCGGACACGACGTGTGTTCGCATGCAACTCAGAGGCTTTGAACGAGCCCGTGGACTGTTTGGAGCAGGTTAAGCTTGCAGGAATTCAGCGAAACCTGAGGCGGGGTGCTAATGATAACACCTCCGTTTGAACTGACGCTTGAACATGAGCTTGGTTGAGTACAGTTGCGTGTGAACAGCAATGACTGTGAGATCAATGCAGGCTTTTGGAGTTCAAAATAATTCGCACTATATCACTATAAGGTCTGCCATTTTGGCGGGCGTTTTTTGGCCTACTGGTGGCAGCGCACAGGCGCCTTCCTGCTGCGCCAGGTCCACGGCCTGCTCGCGTGGCAGCCGCACAAAGCATTCCTGTTTGTGGATGATCTTCTATGCGCCCTGCTCCGTGCCCAAGCGCCAGAGATGTTCGCCCTGGTGGCTTTATTCTTCTGTGCTATAGCCGCACCAATCTCCTGGAAAAAGGCACAGTTCCAAGATTGCCTTGTGTGGTGCGGTTGGGAAATTAACTTCGCCCACGACATCATCCAACTCATGCAGACCAAGCTGGTCAACTTAGAAGAACTCATCGCGGCCCTCCTGGCAAAAGAAAGGTCCTTCGCAAAACACTGGAGCAGTGCATTGGGTTGCTCACCTGGGCCACCAGCATAGCCCTGCATTTGCGATCCTGGATGGCGCCGCTGTACGCCGACCTGCGTAGCCCACCAGGCTCCATGCACTCCATCCAGCCACAACTGTGGCCGGCCTTTCGAAAATCTTTAAATAAAGATTTGAAAATGAGCGTCGGCCTACCTAGCCTTTAGCTTTCGGCCGGCTCCAAAATTTTGGAGGTCGCAGGCAGCGCCGTGCACTGCCTTGACGACATCCCACGCATTCCGAGCACCAGCAAGCCTGCGTGGGTTCGCATAGCGGACCCCAACAACCCTTTCACCACCCTTTCCAAAGCTAGCCAAGCTTGCCTGCAATGGCTGCGCTCTCCCGTACAGCCTTTGGCAAAGCAACCCCGATTGCAAGCCTTGGCAGCCGCAGATGCCTGCGCTGAAGAGGAAGTCGTGGGCATAGGTGGTTGGGCAGTCACAGCCTCGCAAATGGTGTGGTTTGCAGAAACCTGGACTATGCAGGATGTCCGTCAAGTGTGGCCCTGCCTTGTCAAGCCGGCGCAGCGTTACATCGCGTGCTTCGAAACCCTGGCGCAGCCAGCGCTCCTCCAGGCTACGCATAGCCACATTGGAGGCGGGCGCGAAGCCGGCATTAACAAGCTGTTTACAACATCTTGGCCTTTGCAAGTTTTTGTGCAGCTTGTCGCCTCTTGGGCGCATGCCAAAAACGTCCTTCTGCAACCGACTCACCTGCCAGGGCGCTACAATGATTGGGCAGACGATTTGAGCAGGAATCGCCTCGCGCGTTTCGCCCACCGCCCGGCCAATCGTGTGCGCTTCAGCCCTACCAGCCTTGCGCAAGCTGGAAGGGGCATCACACTTTGCCCCGCAGAGGCGCCCAGAACATCTGGCTGCAGCCGCCGGGCATGTGTGACATATGGCTTGCTAGCCATCCGGCTTCAGAAAGCCAGTATGGCTTGCGACAGCACCGCGCGCTCGCCTTCTGCATTTCGCACTGCAAGGCTTTTCCGCCGCCAGAATACCTGGCTGCGATGGCCGAGTTTGCGCACAAACTCCAAGCATCAGAAAACGAACTGATGAAACGCTGCATTGAGGGTTCAGCAATGCCCTCGCATTGTCTGTCACTGTGCTTCGTCCCGCCGCAGGTGCAACCCCGCACTGAAGAGGGGGACTTTTGCGCCTGGGCCTTAATCGCCTGTTACCGGGGTTGCCTTGGGAAGCGCTGAAGGAGGGGAACATCTCGCCCCTTGTCCTGGGTGCGCCGCAGTGTCCTAGGAAAGTGCCACCTTCCCAAGCAACCCGGTAAGAAGGTGTGCGCCTTGCTGTCGGCTTTTGGGTTCAGGGTTCTTTGTGGTTTGAGGCTAGGAGCAGTGCGCGGGACCTTTAACGCTAAGGGTTTTCTTTTCCCTTGTGTTATAGGTCGGGGGTGAATCTCCTACGCCGCCGCCATTTGGTGCTCCTAGCCCTCAAACTCACGTTTAGGACTCGCAGTCCTGGTTTCGTTTTGGTGCACCGCAGTGCCCTAGGAAAGTGCCACCTTCCCAAGCAACCCGGTAAAAAGGTGTGCGCCTTGCTGTCGGCTTTTGGGTTCAGGGTTTCTTTGTGGTTTGAGGCTACGAGCAGTGCGCGGGACCTTTAACGCTAAGGGTTTTCTTTTCCCTTGTGTTTATAGGTCGGGGGTGAATCTCCTACGCCGCCGCCATTTGGTGCTCCTAGCCCTCAAACTCACGTTTAGGACTCGCAGTCCTGGTTTCGTTTTGGTGCACCGCAGTGCCCTAGGAAAGTGCCACCTTCCCAAGCAACCCGGTAAGAAGGTGTGCGCCTTGCTGTCGGCTTTTGGGTTCAGGGTTCTTTGTGGTTTGAGGCTAGGAGCAGTGCGCGGGACCTTTAACTCCACCGTTGGTTGTGATGGCAGCAAATGTGCACAACACCATTGCAACCGGTTGTCTCTCTCATGGCACTCTTGGTGATGCAGTTGTCACTTGGATTGAAGATGTAAGTTGCCCATATTCTATTGTTCCCAGCTCACGTTTGATTTGGGGCTGAATTGGAAAGTTTTGAAGGCCAACGCTCAAGTTGTTGCATGTGTTGTATGGTTGATGGATTTGTAAGAATTTTGGCCCAAATCATGGAACGTATTGGGAACGAACGCATTGCAAGCAGACGAGGAGAGACCAACGTGTTTTTATTTTTACAACATTACGTAGTATGTTAACATACACAATAAACCTGATACATTTTACACTGCCATCAGACTTTGTGAAGTTTGCTCTAGGGGCGCCTCGGCATCCCCATGAACGCATTCTGCGATGCAGCGGTCAGGAAGCGGGCGATTAGCAGCAGGTCCATCCGGCACCAAGGCATTCCCAGGGAGAGCAGATGAACAATGAGCAGATTTGTTTTTGCACTTGGCCCAAAGGCACAGCCTTTCTGTGCAGGACCAACCCTTCAATGCAACTCTGTTTTTGGGCTCAGAACTGACATGCCTTGCAGGCAAAATTCAGGACTCGCACGGGGCTGAGGTTGTTTATCGAATTTATTGCCATGTGCTGGATGCCATTTGCAATTTTATAAAGGACGGCGCTTGCAAAGTATTTGTTCCGTCAACCATTTCCAAGTCAGCTGCAAGCCGAGGCCAGCAGTCCACACACAGCGACCTGGAAGATCAGGCGCTTGCGATGTTGGTTTGTCATTGCCAGTTTTGCTGTATGAATCTACAGAACTGGCGGCGAGTGCGCGTGAGTTGCAAGTGTTCTGGTAGACTGGCGGAGCTTCCAGATTCCAAATCGCGTGCCGCACTTGAAACAAATACCGACCGCAGTGTCCTTAAGCCGAATATGTGAGGCTGGACTTTGTCATCACAGGCGACTTCAGCGGGTTGTACCGCAGCGTCAAACACGGCATCATCGATGCAGGCTCGAATCTAGCATCAATTTTGCTTGGAACGTTTGTGAAATATGCACGTTCATGCTTGCAACCGTGCCAGTTGTACGATTTCGCGAGCGACGGGACAATTTTCTGAAATGGCTACACGCGCAGCGGAAGCAGCTTGCCATCATTTTTTCTGGTGACAGTGACCGTTGACATTCATTGACGACTGTGATGAATGCGTTGTGCTGTGCAGCGACCTTGCGGAATTCTGAGGGAGCAGGAGCAGCGAGCAATGGACATGACCCTGGAGTGCGGGCCTCATTCACATCGGGCTTTCCCAGCCTTTTGTTCAAGTGTTTTGCAACTGCTGCCATGCCTGAGGCATCCCTACCCGAAGATACGGTACATCGTTAACAGCAACCAATTTGAGGCTAGCTAATCCCAAGGATGTTGTGTGTAAGCGCAGCGAGATTCAAGCGTTGTGTGCTGGGCATGCAAGCGCAGCCAGATCGTTGGGAACTTTGTCATTTTCTGCAATACCTTTGTGGTGGGCTGGCAGGCCTTGTGAGCGGCATTTGCGCTGAAGCTTTGTGGTCTCGGTGCAGGCTGAAAAGACACCACGGAACACAACTGATCAAGACAAGGACTGCACCCGTGGTCGCACCCAACTGTAGCAGATCGGGTGGCAGGGGTCAAAACTGCCAGTGGACTGAAGTTGTTCCACTTGCACTGCAGTTGCTATCTGTCATCTTCGAGAACTTCTTTACATTTGTGCATCCCTCAGGTGCTGTTTGCCTTTGTAGTTTTGCATGCTTCGCCCAAGCAACCAAGGCCTTTGTTGTGGAGCTGACCTTGTCCACAATGTGCTGGGGATGGACTTCACTGGTGAAAAGAGAGGCTCCGACCTATGCTTGCAGCTTCGCAGTACACTTGACCTCAGCACGCGCTGTCAGTTGCACGTGATTCATTTTTCGACCTGACCTTGGTCAGATGTAGATCGCTTGACTGCATGCCAGAATTGGATGGATGTGTTCCTGGTCTTCCTGGGGGTCCTCACAACTTGGATTCTGGGTCCTTTCGGCATTGAGGTACGTGCTTTTGTCCTGCTTGTGTCTCAAACAAGCCAAGCTGATGAGACAGGTGGAATTTCTGCGCAAGCTTACTGCTTTGAGGAGAGCAGCTTTGATTCTTCGAGTATTTTGCGAGCATTGCTCCCAGGACCATGCGCCTCATTCGTCTGGCCAGAGCTGTCAGGCTACGGCCAGAATTCAAGGACTGAGCAGGGGTAGACGTGTTTTTTTCAGACCTTTCAAATGCAGAAACCAAACCTGAAGCAGCGCGGGGGTGCTTGGCATACGGTGCCTGAAGTACATCGGTTGAGCTTCTCACCAGCCTGGCCGTTTGGCCTTGCTGAGTTATTTGCAACGTTTTGCGGCTCTGTCAAGCCTAGATTTGGCACTGCTCGAGTGCCCAAACCAATGCCTGCGCAAAGAAAGGAGGGAGGCTTCTGGGCTATATCGTTTCTGGTTTTCTTGGCTTCTAAGCTTTTGGCTTTGGCGTCCACATCGCCGCAGCACTTGCTGAACGTTCCCAGCCCAGGTTTCATGATGATTTGTTTGACTTCTTGCTGGCGACCCTGAAACAAGTTCTTGACAACACTTATTTGGGGCGCCAACGAACGAATCCCAATCAGATTGAAGTAAATGAAGTACCATGGTTCCTTCCATTCAGTTGCCCACTGCCCGAAGGCTTTATCAGTAGAGCTTCATTTGACCCAATAGCAGCATGTTGAGTGCTTCTCATTTCGGTAGTGGGAGCTGTTCATCGCTGGATGCCTTGCCAGGAGATGTGGGCTTTGATGAAGGGCCTGACAGAAAGTGGCGAGACCTTGTTCTGGACTGGCTTGGCTTGCTGCGCACATATAAGTTCATCGGCGGCAATGGAAAGGACGTATGTGATGATTGCGTGCGTGCTTTACTTCTTCGCGATCATTGCGTCGCTGCCAAAATTGTTTTGCGGATTCATGCAGCTGGACCGGATGAACTGGCAGGCTACCTCCTTGATTGGAAAAGCAGAAGCTTTCGCTGACTCGGAGCTTGCACAGGATGGCCCATGGCTTGACTGGTTTAGAACGTTAGGGCACATGCTTGCTATCTAGCCCTTGACAGCATCAACTGATTATGTGGTACTTGCATCAAGCTTGAAATCACAGGAGTTCTTTGGTGACGTGCTACGGTCCATGCTGACACTCTTCCAGGACGCTCGAGATGCATGCATTGTTGCAAAGTTTCGAGCCGTTATAATCACTGTATAGCAAGTAACCTCTTCATTGGCTCCGCGCTGTCTCTGCCCTGCAGCTCATGACGCTGGACTCGTGGACGGGCTTTGCCCGGCCATTGATGGAGGCACGGCTTGGTTTTGATGGCGCCATTGTTTGATTTGTACGGCAGATTCAAGTTTGGACCGGCGCGTTTTTCATTTTCTTCATCTCTGCCGGGAGCCCACTTGACCCAAGTGAGAATGTGAGCGGCGAGATGCATGCTTGACAACTTGAGGTTGCTGTGTTTGTCATGCTGAACCTTGTGACGGCCGTGATTGTTGAGAACGCTTTCTCTGACTCCAAGAGTGAAGAGAAAGAGCTGGCAGTCCGTCTTGAGAGAGAGAAGGCAGGCAACGTGAGCTTGGGCCTTAGGTTCCAGCACTTTGTTAAATGCCAGGAAGAGGAGTTGGAGGATTTGAAGCAGTTCTTCCTGGCACGCTATCAAGTGTGTCAAGTGTGTCAAGTGTGTTTGTGTCAAGGCCAATCAGGTGTATGTGTATTGTCATGAAGTGTGCTGCAGTGTGACCGTTGCTGACAACTACCCCGCACTCCGCACGCCGCTTCAGCAAATCGACTTGGATGGAAGCGGATCGCTGACAAAGCAAGAGTTCTTCAAGGTGCCTGGCCGAATTGACTGCCGCATCCTGGAAAACTCAGTCTAGTGAGCCTGCTCCACTGCGTTCTGCGAGTTGTTGGTTTGTTAGTTTCTTGCAGATTGCTGCCGCGTTGTAGCGGGATGAAAGTGTCTCTCTACATGCAAGGCATTCTTGCTTCCTGTCATGGGTAGAGGCCTTAGATGTATGGCTTGGATGCCAGGCAACCAAGCAGCGAAAGATTCGGCAAAAGCTGAGAGCGCTGGATATCATGCCCAAGGTGTGAGAAGGCTCTTGCAGCATTCCTTTGTGCGCATGACCTGTTTCAGGACATAGACGAGTTGTGGGACATTTTAGATGAAGGCAAAGGCGAGCTTGCAGTCGAGGACAGGGATTTGCAATGAGCATGTGTGCACGCGCCTTTCAAGCCCCATAGCATGTGCATTTCGCAGCTGCCATTTTGTTGCCTGATTCGAAGGATTTTCAAAATGGCATTAGACGACTGCGAGGTGAAGCCAAAGCCAAGGTTGGATCCATGTGCATGTACTTTCTCAGCTTCTCATGGCATTGGTTTGTCGAATCGAACACATGCTAGGATATCCTGCGCCTGTACAAGGAGGTTCGTCAGTTTGAAACATCCGTTGAAGAGGTGGGATCAGGTCGTGAGACAGTCCACTGGTGTACAAGACCTGAGGTTGAGGGACACATAGAGAGCAGCAAGAGGCGGCTTCGAAACATTCAGGCCCATTGAAAGGCAGTTTCAGCTCCCGATTCTTTGTAGCTTCGAGTCAATTTGTGATGTGTTTGACTCTGTGAAGGAGCAACTGTCTCGGTGCCGGACCGACGTGGCTGCCTTCACCCGAACACTTGTTCGAGCGAAAGAGGCATGCCAGGGGCTGCCTTCGTTGTTTGCTATTGAAGCGCGTTTGCGTTTGCAGGCTGTGAAGATGGCGGCGCAAACGCAGAATATGAGTTCGTAATTGTTGGAATGACTAGGCTGAGGGGGCTATATTCATGCACGCTGCATGGTCTCCCAGGCTTTGCAGAAACATTGACCAAGTCAATGTTCAGTAAGTCTGGAGTTTCACATCGATAAAAGTATTTCTTTTGGTTGCACACATCCTTTTTGCAGGTGTCATACCAGCAAGATTCATGCTGTTGCATGGGATAAATGGCGCCTGTGCTGCTTGGCCGGCCAGGACAGGTGGATCACAGATTGCATTGTTTCAGCCTCCAACGACTTGAATGACTACTCTTGCGTTTCACAGGCTTCTGAATACTCCAAGTAGTCCAAGTAGCAAACATATCTAATTCATAATGGAACATGTTTAGATGGTCGCCATGGCAGAGCCTGTGCTATGGGTGCCAGCAGCAGCGTCCAGGTCGCAATGCCTTTCTGTTGCAGCTGATATTTTTGTCGTGTTTCAAGTTCTTACAATGGCATACTTCACTTATGCTCATGTTCATGAGAGCAAGTGCAAGTGTGGAGTACTCTTTGCAGGGCGCGGTTTGCACCACGAGTTTGGAAGCGGAGGTTCGGTTGAATGCTGATCGCTGAACTGGCTAACGTTGGAAGTGGATGGCACTCGACAAAATCAAAGGGGCAGGTGCAGAAACTGTGGCTATCAGTATGTGAAGCCTTAGTAGCACTGCCTTTTAGCAGACCTTGCCTGATGGAGGCGCTCCTCCGCTACCCTCCTGCACGGTGGTCAGGTGGGTGAACTTGCCACAGGTTCAGATTTGGGTGAAATCATTCAGTGCAAGTCGTTTGTGCAGGTTGGGGATGCTCTCTTTCATGGCTGGGCAAAGCCCTCGGCTGCTGCAGAGAGGCGGGGCTCAAAGGGCTCAAAGCATTTGGATAAGTTTTCACCTTTGGACCTTCGGACCTTTTGATCTTTGTGCTTCGAGGCTTTGCGCTTACGCGAGCCTGTCAGGCTGAGTGCTGGGCTGATCTTCTTTTCTCGACTCGGGATGCCCTGCCCTCAATGCCTCATGCAGCACGGTGCGTGGACATTTGGCCAGCACTGCCATCTCACAGCATTGACATTCAACAGGTGGAATGCAGGCACTGCAGCGTAGGAGAATGAGCCGTGGAATTGCCAACCAGAAGCATCCTGCTTTTGACAGCTACTCCGTCTGAAATTCAGCGGGTCCATTGACAAGAAAGGGAATAAAGCAGTACGCAGCAGTATGCTGCAGCGCACAATACGCAGCAGATGTGCCATGAATGACAAGTACGCAACGTTTTCACAGCAGTGAATGGCAACCGGCAGCAATTTTTGATTCCCCAGATAGCTGAAAGCTATAGGGGTTCTAACTTCTAATAAAGAGGGGAAGTGATTTGCGAGATTGACGCGCAGTTGGGGTGCTGGTGCAGATGCTGTAGGGTTTGCTGTTTGGGGAGCTGTTTGTGGTGCAGGTAACGGTGCGGGGCAGTTTTGCAAAAAATGACTGTATGGTGCTATAGGGCATGTTGTTTTGGGTGCTGTGTTTTGGGAGTGCTGGTGACGGTGCGGGCACATTTTTGCGAGATTGGCTGTTTTGGGATGCTGTTTGGGGCGCTGTTGGAGGAGTGCGCTTGCCCGATACTTGGAAGCTATAGGGGTTCTAACTTCTAATATGGAAGGGGAAATGATTTGCGAGATTGATGGCTGGGTGCTGGGAGGCATGCAGTTTGCGGTGCTGGTGCAGGTGCTGGTTTTGGTGGTGGTGCTGGTGACTTGGCGGGGTGCTCGGGGGGGTGCTGTTTGGGGTGCTGTTCGGGGTGTTGTTGGTGTTGGTGCAGGTGCTATCCGGCGTTTGTGCTGGTGTAATGTTTGCCGTTGAGCCTTCTCCCGGTATTTTAATTCCCTATGAGTTTCTCACATCGCTTGCGTCGCAGAAAAGGTGCCAGTTTCAGTTCTCTGGCCAAACTGGGCTGGTCCCTACATGCCGCGAGCCTACTGTTACCCATGCAGCATTCACCATAGACGTATGTTCTTGTTTGATTGACATGCAGCCAATGAAGCAAAATCTGAGCGATTTGCATGCCCCCGGCATTCTGTTCTGAAAGCCTTTTTCGCCAGGACATCAACCAAAGGTTTTGAGCGCAGACAGGTGAGCATTTTGAACGATCTCAGGCCACCTGCTGTTCCAGGGCTTGGTTTGAGCATTGCACGTGTGGTTCTTACATGTGGAAGTCGGATTCGATAGCTTCATGTCGATGCGTGCGTCGTTGAGCTTTATGCTGGGCATGATTGCAGTGTATTTTGTTTCTTTTCTAAACGTGGCTTTCTGGTAAATGGCCTAGTGTACAAATCGCAGCAGAGGTTACAACATTGGTGGATGCGGTCGACCAGAGGAGCAATCGGGGCACCCATACGGAGGGAGCAAGGCAGGACGTCGTGGCTTAGAGAATGGATAATGCACAGAGCGCGCCGAAGCTTTGCGTCAGAAAAGGGTTGGCCAACGGGGACATTCTTGCAAGGTGATGCAACGTGATGCAAAGTGATGCATGTCATGCAACTGCTGCAGATGATGCGAGTGAACAGTCAATGTCGGCGATGCAGCCTGCATCACATGGTGCAGGTGACACGTGATGCAGGTGATGCAGGTGGAGGTGATTCAGGGAATGCAGGGGATGTTGAAGCCCAGCTAACAGTAATTCAAAGCGTCTTGTCTCTCGCTGTCTTTGTCTCTGTCTTTGTGTCTCTCTGTCTCTCTGTCTCTCACTCTCTCTCTCTCTCCCCTCTCGGTCGGTACCCCGCTTGTGATTTTTATTTCTCGCTTCTGACTGGATCTCGCTTGTGACGGTACCAAGTTTGGTCACTTAGAAAGTCGCATGTGGGCAGTGCTTTGTGGGGGTAGGGGTTTGGTGACTCTAGTTGTGGTTTTGAGGACCCGTTGGTTGTAAACTTGTGTCGCAAGTGAGTTGCCATTCTTGCAAGTGTTTTGTAAGTGTTTTACAGCACTTTGTTGCGCATGTTGGTGAAACGCTATGAATGTTGGATGTTCGCAGGGATCGGTGGCACATGAGGCAGGTGATAGTTTTGAATGCTTGACCAATTCGAACTCGGCCATGGATTTTGTGCGGCTCACGCACCACTGCAAGTTCCGACCGTGGGAAGATGGTCCTTGCTGCAGATGGTCCCCAGACAGGCGGTGCATTTGATTCTGGCAGCAGCTGCGGTTCTTGGATGCACGGTCGGAACTTGCCGTGGTACGTAAGCCGCAGCAAACCCAGAGCTTAGCATGCGATTGTGGCCAAGGCTATGTTGTGGCAATATGTATGGAAGGCTGTGTCGTAGTCCTTCCTGAGAAGAAGCTGGTCGTGCAAAGCAACAGCCCCCCGGAGAGATTGTCTTGCAACCCTGGTTAAGGAGCATGCACCGCTGTTAAAAGAGCAAGCTGCGGGGCAGTTGAGTGGCCCCCCCCCCGGTGCTTATTATGCCCCCCCCCCCCGGAAACCCGTCAAGTGATGTGGCGAACAAGATGCTGGGCTCTATTTGATGGTCACATGGCGCGAAATCATTGCAAGTGGGTCAGGTGGACGCGCGAAACCACAGCGCGAGACACACAACGAACAGTCGCAAGTGGAAACGAGGTGCTCTCTCCCTCTCTCTCCCTCTCTCTCCCTCTCTCTCCCTCTCGCCCTCTCGCCCTCTCTCTCTCTCCCCCTCTCCCTCTCTCCCTCTCTCCCTCTCTCGCTCTCTCCCTTTCTCCCTCTCTCCCCCTCTCCCGCTCTCCCTCTCTCCCTCTCTCCCCCTCTCCCTCTCCCTCTCCCTCCCTCCCTCCCTCTCTCCCTCTCTCTTTCTCTCCTCTGTCTCCCTCTCTCACCCTCTCCCTTGTTTCACTTGTTTACGAGAAACCGCAGTCAGGGCAGTTCATGGTCTGTTTGTTTGCAGACATCAGGACGATACATGAAGAACACATACAAACTGATGAAGTTGTTTTCTAGTTTAGCGTATGTAGCAGCCAGATCCTTTCCTGTCAGCTACTTATTGACAGCTCCTCGCAGACTCACTGTGGAACGCACGTTCACACAGCAAAGCGAATCCACTCCAACCTTTAGACACACAACCTTCAACCACACCCCAGCTAGGTGACCAACCTTGGCATGGTTCTGAGGAATCGGTTTGAGTTTCACAGACTCAGGCCCTTGGATGACAGTCATGAAATCTTCTCTATGAGCAAAGGTTCTTCATGCAAAGAGCGCTCTCCAATTGGAGATGAATTTGTGCAGGTGCGAGGCTGGTTTGCCCTGATTGAAGGCTTTCAGCCAGTTCCAGGCCAGCGTGGCAGCAAATAGGTTGCAAGCAAGTGTTTCCCTGGCTGTTGAGGTGGTGAATTCGATTGGACTAGAGACGAGGGACAGAGGACACCACGCGATTCATTAGCGCCGTTGCCTGGCACCTTTTCTTGGTAAATGCGCGTTTGACATGATGCTACCCGGTGGCACTCTGTGAAGATCCTTTCCACAGGAACTTTCTGCACCTAGCCATCGAGAGAGGCGTAGACCAAGTCGAGCTCTTTGCAAACGCGCCAATGCAAGACGCTCATACCGCACCATGCCGGCGCATGCTGAGTAAATGGTGGACACCGCAAGGTGGTGGATGAGCAGCAGTGGCTCATCATTTGGTGGTTCTTTGGCACAAGCAGATGTGCTGCCTGCACGGCTTGGGGAACAAATTGAACCCAGCTCAGTGCTCGTGTTTCATTGCAGGAGTTCGCCAACTACCTCGGCGAGGTGGGCGCAGCGATCAGCAAAATGTTGAAGAGTCAAAGCAGTTCAGGTTGCGTCGCAAGCCAGAAGTGGATGGGGTGTGTCTCAAGCTTAGAGCTGGCAACTGCCGGCAAGCTTTCGCTTCCTATGTATCAGCAAGGAAGTTTAGCTTGACAACTTCCATAACACGAAAAGTGGAGTTACCCACATGCGAAACACGCGAAGGGTAGCTCTATTTTGCGCAAGGGGTCGCCACATTCTTGCCGAAAGTTCCCGAATGGCACGGCCGTGCAGACTGTTTCGGAGGTGCAAACCTGAGGTGCAGATGTCGTGGCAGGCGCAGCATGTTGCAGCCATGCAAGGTCAAGTGCAGATTTCGCGGCAGGCGCAACACTCGCAATGATATATTGTGGCCGGCGCAGCACTTTCGCAAGGTCAGGTGATAGATGGGGCAGCTTTGAGGGCCCAAAAGCCCGGGACAAACTCGGAAACCGCTCGGGAATCATGCATCTGTCCGCTATTACTTTCCTTTCGCAACATTTGGCATGGTTTCTTTCTGTTCTGGTTGATGGGTCGTTGATGCTGTTGTAACCAAATCGCTTGCATCAGTTCGAATGTGAACATCAGCGATTTTTCGCCTGTAATGTCTGACCAGAGACCGCGAAGAAATAAAGCTGAACCGTAACAGCGCATGAGTCCGTGCAACTCTGCAACAGTTGTGGACATGGTGGTAGCGGTGATCTTACGCGTCTCGTAACCAACCAGTGAACCTCTTGAGTTCGATGTGCCTCGGCGAAGGTCTCGTTCTTCTGCGAGAAAGATAACATGTGCACGTTGGGATGATTTGTCTTCATTGTTGCGATAGGATGCATCTGGATAACCAACAATACGTGTCTTCCCACAAAGGGCCAGCATCTCATGCCAAGCGGTATGCTCTTGAGGGTTCTGACTGTTTTATTGATGGCGCGAACGTCCTCAATGGTCGGTGATGCTGCCTTGTATGCGCGCCTGGAGAATGTGGAATTGTGTCCGCGATTGTAACCAGTTGATCTGACCTAGAACACTTCTGTATGCGGTGTGCAACTGTGGCGTGAGTGGAGTGTCATCTTTCAAGTTCTTGTCGAATGTAATCTCCTGAAGTTCGTCAATGGCAACGTTCTGGTGAACCTTGGTTGATGTACCAACCGTGCTTGTCGTCATGCTTCCATTCTTAATCTTCGGAACCAAGTTTGAAATCTTTACGAAGGCGTCCCATGATCTCCTTCTCAAACACATCATCACCGGTCACACGAAGATCATCAACATGAGGAGGCATTGATGTTTGCTACACTTGTGCCCGCATCAACATTACCATGCCGGATTTCATCTAACTCGGGGTCAATGCGAGCAACAATGCCAGCAGGCACGTCAAGAGAGGCTTTGCCAGCCTTTTGAGCATACCCATGTGCCTCCTTTCCAAACAGGCTAAGCTGACAGAAAAGCGACAGGGTCGTCAGGAGTCCGTCTGCCCTGAGTGCCGCACTCGCAGCTATGACCTCGGCTTCCGTTGAGCTGGTAGCGGTCGCTGTTTGCTTCCTACTGAAAGCATTCAATGGATAGTACGTGTTTGGTCCTACAAGTATCATAGCGCAACCGGTGGTGATAGGGCGAATCAAGAGACTCTTCAAAAGGCTGCAGTGTCATCCGGGCCACTGAAGATGAAGATGGGTGCTCCGAAGGGTGTAGGCAGTGGTTGAGCCGTGAAATTGCCGAGTTTAGAGGCAAGAACCCCAAAGGCTCCATCATGTTTTATGTATCATTGCCGTGCGCTGGAGGTTGCCCATGGGGTTATGTCAGCCAGCGTGGAACTCACTACTTGAAGGAAGCAGAGGGATATACTTATGTTTATACCGACGCTGTGTACAATGCATTCTCCGAACACGCCACCATGCAGCCGTTACTTTCGAGTGACTGTGCTGCATCAACTTCGCAATGAGCAGCCAGGCGGCAATGGCGCATCCCGCGAGGGATTGCGACCCGGCATGGAGGCGGTGGATGGAGAATATTGCTACGACTTCCCCTAGTACTATCTTAGTATAATTTGATAAATCTATTAAATAATAATATGTCAGAAGGAAATAACTCAGAGCCAGGTTGATTTTTTGTTGAATATTGTGTTTAAATGCTCACTGATGTGCAAATACAAGTCTATTGGAAATGACATCCTGTGTAACATTTAAATTGAAATTTAATAACCACTACTATTGAAATATAATAACCACTACTTAAACTCTAATTTAACATGGCAATTATGCTTGGATTATGTCCTTAGAACATCATGTTCAATTTCAGTTAGAAATTTAGTATAGTTAGCTAGATGTATCCAGTAGAGTTCATAAGGATTGCTGAATGCTGAATGCTTAGCCAGACTTTACTAGGGGTGAGTTTCAGAATAACAATCTTGGGGCCTGGAGTTGTTTTTGAAACCTCAAGTTTATGGTGTTTTGTTGGAACAGTGAGAAAAGCCTCGAGTTTTCCAAACAACTCAGACCCCATGCCCCAGATCCTGGAGACACCCCCCCCATGGGGCCTGGTGTTTTGTTTTTTGTTTTTTTGAAAACTCGAGTTGTTTTTGTTGAAAAGTGAGAAACACCTCAAGTTTTTGTTTAAAAAAAACACAAACACCACACAACCTCAGACCCCATGCCCCAGATCCTGGAGACACCCCCCGTGCGTCCTGGAGTTTCTTTGTTTTTTTTGAAAACTCGAGTTTTTTTTTTGAAAAGCGAGAGTTTTCAAAAATAACCAAAACCTCAGACCCCATTCCCCAGATCCTGGAGACACCTCCCGTGGGGCCTGGAGTTTTTTTGGAAAGCTCGAGGTTTTTTGGTTTTTACAAAAAAAGCACAAAAACAAAACCTCAGACCCCATGCCCCAGATCCTGGAGACACCCCTCGTGGGGCCTGGAGTTTTTTGTTTTTTTTGGAAATCTCAAGGTATTTTCTCAAAAAATAAAAACCAAAGCCTCAGACCCCATGCCCCAGATCCTGGAGACACCCCCCGTGGGGCCTGGAGTTTTTTTTTTGAAAGCTCGAGGTTTTTTGTTTTTTTGACTAGGTTGCTTGATGAGTGCAGATCATTGGACAAGTTTGCTTCAGGAGTGCGACACATAATTGATGTCATTTGGCAGTTGAATGCGGATGCAGAATTGATATGTTAGAGCAATTGTATGAAAACATGCTCTTTTCACAACTCCGCCCCCCATGGCACCCCCTTCTGTTTTGGAGGTGGGTAGCCCTCCTGTGTCCAAGAAACCAATTGAACGGGGTTGTGCGAGTGATCAAACGTTATCCTCAGCTGCTGACATGCACTGACAAACTGCGTAATCTCCATAAGCAACCCGAATCTTTTGTCTTCCCATGAACTCCTTCAAACATCTGACAACCTCATCCGTGGAGAAGATTCGTCACGCACAACCAAAACATTGGTGTCTGTCTTCGTTCCCAGTTGTCCTACTCTTTCTGGTGTCACGAAATCGAACGTCACAAGGCCACTTTTTGAGTTGTTGTTTGAACGCACCCTTCTTGGTCTTGAAATGCCGCATCTTTGCTCGGACACACGCATCACAATGGGTAACCATGTGTTCCAACGTGTCCGCTTCATGTTTGAAAGTTCCTTTCTTCCTCTTCACGCCCCTTCCAGCCTCAGTAGCAACCTCAACTTCATCCTCATCGCTACCTCCACCTTCGTCCCTTTCATCGTCTCACCCTCCTCTCCCTCGCCGGGCTCCTCTGCCAGCACCGGTTGGTGTCTTGTCCGGCGATGAAGTCAATCCTCCAGACGGATCCACCGCATGATCTTCGGGGTTCCAAAACTCCGAGAGCTGACACAGTGAGTTCCCTAAAAGCCAATGCTACGTTTCATCGTTGGCTACCAGGTAAGGAATGTGATCCTTGACACGAAGGCGTATCACTGACTTGCGATCATCGAGCGTGATAGGTTCTTCACCGGGCATCCACAGAAGACCATAGCCATTGTCAGCGCATCTGTTTCCAATAGACAAGAACAACGGAGATTCTTCCATCAGGAAAGGCGAAATTGTGTCCTTCCGTCACACAGGTCATCGCCTCTGAACTCATCCTCGGACTGAGACCCAGCTTATCCGCCACCCAACTTCACCACCGTGGCGATTGTGTGTTGGGTTTTTGTCAAGGACTCAAAATCATCGATCACAGGTCCGTCCCCTTTCTTCCTAGCTCTATCCACATAGTCAATCTTCTCATAGTTCACCCCTACGAGAACAATTTTCATCGTGTGTTCGCTGGAAATGGGTACCTTGATGGAGGTCTGAAAATCACGGACATGGTTTTCCCTTTGCGGCCCTGATGGCTGCCACGAAGCTCTCCTGGTATTGGTCTTCCTTCGCATACTCATGATTGCTAACATCAGCATCATCGTAGTATTCCAATCCGCTTGCCTCTGTCGATCGCATAATCTCCTTCTCCTTCTCCGACACATTCGCCGACTTGTCTTTCATCTCCCAAATGGTCTGCAACTTCAACATTGCAGATGACAAGATTCGCTCCCGGTGCGTGCCACATCAGGCCTTCGGTCTCCGTCGTCAACCTGCCCCCCATTCCCAACACCCCTCCAGAATGCTTGGGATTTGAGTACCAATGCCGGCGGTTTGACGCCAGCCATGATCACGTCCGCGTTGAAGCGTTCATTCAGCGCGAAGATGTCGGCAGTTGTGTTGATTGTATCAATGATTCGTCGTGGGGCCTGTTCTTGGATCAGGTTGACGATCGCGGCGCATTGACTGAAGTAATCCTCCGTGCCGCTTGTGATCACGTAGTACTCCCCACCTTTGTTCTTCCACTCCATGGCGTCCACCAACGATATCCACAGATGAACGGATTCAACTGCGCCCTTGATGCTATTCTTGCACTTCGTCGATTGCGTCAAGAGTTCTTGATCGACAGGACAGATCATGTTGCTCACGTTCCATCCAACATTCTTGCTCATCCCTTCCGACATCGCGGTGCACAAGCTTCGTGTAAACAGGTCAGTCACCAGGAAGAAGCTCCCTCGCCTATAATCACCGATCGGTGTGTTCACGGCCA